AAGGTAGCTTTTGTCTGCAGCAGTATAGTCAGACCTAATGCAGGTTGCACTTAAAAACCCCAAAAATACCAATTTATTGCCACTTCTCTTTGAACAGGGTCTTGGAGTTGTTCTATTTTTCTTGCTTATTTTACATTCTGTTCAGCAGGCAATCGTTCTGACCTTCAGAAATTGGGTGAGAGATTAGGATTTTGTTAGCAGATTGACTGCAGCCTAAACATATGTCCTTTGATAAATCATAGCATCTTTGTTGTTGTCATTTTTGTGCAGCAGCTTTTCCTCCCTAATGGGTTAGTGATTATCTTGCACAAGTATTGTGAGGTTTAGCCTAAAGTTTCTGCTCTCTGGATGCAAAATTTTATAGTGTCATAAATTATATTCTTACTTGATTAAGAATAAACTTATGCAAATGAAATTTAAGAGAAACTGTCCCCAGGCATATTCCTTTAGTTTTGTGTTAAGTTTGAATTAATATGGTGAACATCAATTAAAGCTTCCTAGACAGATAAAGTCCTTAAAACTAACTTCCTGTTTGAGAAATTGAAATATTAAAATCCTTTAGAAAGGGTTCTAAAGGGTTTAAGCTGCAACAAAAGAAAAGTTTTCTGGAGCTTACTCCATGTTTCTGTACTAAATTTTCAAGTAGGCTGAGCTATGCAAGCCAGAGATTGGCTCAGAGTCACTGAGTGCAGGTTCCTAAATCACCAGCCACTCACAAATTCCATAGCAGGTCTTTATCCTCAGACTACCCTTCTCCTGCTGTGGAACAGAATGGCTGGCTAATTAATAAGTGGAAAAATATTTGGGCTTGATGCTCACCTAAGCCCAGTGCGGAGAATAGTCCAGCTCATTAGCCAGGAGCTCATCAGGTGCCAGAAATGAGGCTCTTGCTTCAGTGGGCTTACAGCAGGGCTAATGTCTGTCTCTTATTAAAGACAGCAAGTGCTCAGACTCAATGGCTCTGGGAGCTTTTGGAGTGTGTGAGTCAGATCATCAGCTGTGCAGGGTGCTGCAGGAGGAGATAAATGCTTCCTCAAGCTGCTCTCCCCAGAGCTGCAAAGCTGAAAGTGTTGTACCAGCTGTGTCCCTGCTTCTGAGGAAACCTGTGCTTAAACCTGTGCCCCTGCCCAGCTTCAATGCCCAGCCTAAACCCTTAACAGCCGTGATGGCACCTGCTCTGTCCTCTTCCAGATGTTCCTGGATACAACTCGTGCACAGCTCACAAGGTTAGTGGTCAAACTGCAGTGGAGGTGCCTAAAAACAAATCTCTGTGTTATCTTTGATTCTCTACCAAACCCTATAAATCCAGCCAGGGGGAAAACACTTTGCCTGGAACACAAAGGGTGGAAGGAAAAGGCTGCTAATCTGAATAAGATATGTTAATATTTGGATCATACTACAGCACTGGAGACCAGGAATTGTTGTGTTCTTTTCGGAAGATGTTGGCATCGTCCTTTTGCACTGAGCCTCTGTGTAACAGGACTATGCCCCCTCTGTTCTTCTTTATTATACACAGAAAAGGGGTGCCCCTGTGCTGAGTTAGATGAATCTGCCTGATGCTGAACAGCTGCTCCAGCTTTAGGTGGGATTGGCCCCTATGCAGAAGTTCCAGTTTTAAGATCAGGTGTTTCCAGTAAATGTAGGTGAGCCCATAGGAGAGGCTTTGGGCGGGTTCCTGGTGCTGTTTACAGCAGATCTGATTTTCTGTTTGCTACAGCCACATTCATACTGAAACAAACTGTTTAAATTGGTGTATATATGACGTTTCATGGCACTTTGGAGACTATTTGCTCCGGTCATTCTTCACAACAGCCAGGACAGTCTGGTTCCAACAAAAATCCACCAGGAGATGGCAGCGTTGGCTCGTGCAAGGCGTACCCGAAAGTTAGAACGCTTTTCCCTCAACTGACAGAGGAAAGGTACCTTAATTTAGTTAGAACATACACGGTCTTAGCAATACATAGATAAATGTTAATGAAATACACCTGGTTTTAGCTTTTGTTCCTGACTGGCTAATGCAAGTCGGTAAATTAAAATAAAATTTAAAATGTACATAGATTTTTTTTCTAAATACTGGAGTACCCTCTGACCCAGTAAATGATTTGAGACAAGGATTTTGAAATTCAGTACCCTCTTGCTCAGAAATGGTCATAGCATTAAAAAGCTGGAAAGGTAGTAAGTGCTAATATTGTCATTTCTGCACACCTGTTCTGTAAACTATTCATAGCTTTGCTTGTAGCTGTAAAATCAGGTTTCCCTATAGCTTAAATTGGAAAATTCTTGAGCTTTTGTTTCAATATTATTGTTTTCCTGCCCCTGTGGTATGTATACATGTGCATTGACACTGTTTTACCTGACCTGGTAAATAAGAAAGGAGCTTATAGGGCAGCACCTGAACTTTCCCAGCGTCTTGATTCTGTCTTTTTGCTCCCATCAAAAGATGGGAATAGCAAGCTCCAGAGCTTGCTTGGGAAAAAGTGTATGCACCCCTGTCAATGGGGTGCTGTTGTCTGATGCCCTAATGTCAGCTGGGATGGCTGAGGGTCCCCACTGCTGGACCCTCTCCATGGCTGGCTCTGCAGATGTTCAGCACAGAGCTGATTTGTCACAAGGTCATCCCCAAATCCAGCAGGATGCACCAGGAATGGCCTGAGCTTGGTGGGCTCTATTGTGCTGTTCTGTGTCAAGCAACAGGCTGTGTGAACAGCCAAGAGATTAAAAAGCAATTTCCCCCCGGGACCTTGGTGCCTGGGGAGCTGATAGGGCCCCCTGTGTGAGGCCATATCTGAGTTCTGTCTCTGTTAACCCCGTGGTGGATGCAGGTAAAAGTGTGGGGCAGCTGCACACTGCATCCCTCACCCTCCCTGTGCCATTTGCTCGTAGCTTTCACACCTGAAAATTGAAGTGTGGGCTCTCTTGGTGCAGGGTTACCATACTGGTGCTGCCTGAACACCCTTGTCCAAGAAGGCAAAGCCTGGAGAGGTGCATTGTGTTCTCTTTGGCAGGTACCTGGGAGGTGCTGCAGTGATTGGGATCAGAGCGTGATAGATTTGAGATTCTTCTGCACCCACTAGCCAGGCTGTTACTTTTTAATAAGACACATGTGAACTTAATCTTGCATACTCCCCTTCAGAGCCCTGTTCTCCACATCAAAAGCCTGCAGAGGTTGTTGTTGACAGGAAGGTGCATGTGTAGGAACAAACAAGGTGCCACGCTGTAAGTTCAGGAGCTCAGTGAAAATGTCACCGTGCAGTCTGATGTTGGCAGCTGCAACTTGTGGCTTTTTGAACAGCAGCAGTGCCCTATGGAACCAATCTGACAGCACTGCCCAGGTGACATGAGCCTTTATTTCCTTTCAGAACAGCACAGTGTAATCATTGTTTTTGTTCTTGTGCAGCCACAGACTCCCTTCTAAGCACAGATTCAAATGGAAGAAACATCAAAGTTAATTTGAAATGAAATGCACCCCAAGTAGTCAGGGGGAAATGGAGACATTACTTTGTAGCCACCCTTCTCCTGCCAAAACTGCAGCACCCCAGATGTCAGGAAGCCACGCTGAGCTCTTTGTCTGGTCTTGATTGACTAGATTGTTTTCATCCCAGCCTTTTTAAAGCTTTCCTCATGCCTCCATATTTTTAAGGAATAAAAAGCTAATATAAGGACATGGAGTGTTACGAAGCATGAAGTTCTATAAATATTTATGCTGAACTATCAAAAAAACTTGACAGTTCTTATTTTCTTGACAGATTGGGGTCACTTGTTATTTTTGACCCTGAGAATTGAAGAGCACATGGAGTTAGATCTGTTTGTAATGACTTTTGGATATTGTTGTCCAGTAAACTTGTAGGAATATAACAGGATAAAAGATTTTTTTTCTTGGTATCTTTGTGAAAATGATAACCTAAACCTTGTACTATGTTACTCAAAAATGACCACTCAAGTTACTGTGCCTGTGCAATCTCCAGTGAATTCCTGTACTTTCTTTGGCACACATGGATTTCCCAGTTAGCTGCTTGGTTTGCCACTTCAGATGGACAGCTTTCACCTGGGCTGCTCTGCACTGAAGCACTCTTGATCACCTTTGTGTCTCAGGTGTGTTCCTGAGCCCAGCACAGGATGGTCTCAAGGCAGGTAAAAATCTGGCAAAGGCCTGTGGGGTCTGCAGTGTTTTGCCACCAGTCCCATCACTGCTTTAAGTATCCCTGGAGCCAACTGTAGATAAACTTCGCTTAAAATTTTAAGTGCTGATGACTAGGCATTTTCTAGAGAGATGAGAGGCTTGTAACTCCCACACTTCAGGATCCTCATTCTGTGAAATGATGTGCACACAAGCTTAATTTAACCCCTACCTCAAGGTGAACATTTAAAATCCATGCCTGGCTTTTTCACCCTGGCTTTTTCAGCAAAGCTGGAGCTTTGTGGCAGCAGCCACATTATTACGTCCAGCTGCAGAAATTCATTCTGCAGGAAGGGATCAATCCAGTGCTTTACCTTGAATGAAGCATGGTGTGTATTTTAAGGTAAAGCTTGGAATATGTCATGTCTAAAGCTGGCCAGAATAGCTCCTGCTATCAGTCACTAGAGGGCACAAAGGAATTACCAAAGAAAGAATTTTGTTGGTCTTATAGTCCTGAATCTCCACTTTAAATCTGTGAAAGTGGGGGGAACAGTCCTGTGGAACGGGAACAGTCCATTCCTGTGACTGCCAAAAGACAAGATGGATTAAAATTTTGGTTTTATCAGTGATTTTCTCAACTCAAATCTACTGCTGCTTTCAAAGTAAAAAATTCCAAGGGTGCTTCCATGCTCTTGTTAGTATAATTTTATGATCAGAAAGTACATGGCTCTCAGAACAAATACATAAGCTGCTCATGAGCACCTTTTAAGTCCTGTAATTACAGACCTGAATTCCTCATTTGTCAGGTTTCTGTTCTTGGAAGCAGTGTTTGCTGTATGAAGAGAAGCCAGCAGTTGCTGCCTGACCCCCAGTTCTTTTGCAGGTTGCCTGTCTCATCCGGGTTCCATCCGAGGTTGTCAAGCAGAGGGCCCAGGTTTCTCCTTCCTCGAGCACTCTCCGGATTCTCTCCCACACCTTGTACCATGAGGTGAGTTCAGAGCAAAATCCCTCAACATTTTCATCCTTCCCACTCAGTGCCATACACGTCCAGAAGCATTCCTACAACTTTATCCCAGTTCTGTGCTTTCCCAGCACTTTTCCATCTATTCTTCTGTTCTTAAAAGTGATTGGCATGTTATGATTGAGGAAACCAAACCCACACCTCCCCCTGGGGCAAGTTTCAAGCAACTCTTTTTTTCTTCTCTTTTTATATCAGATACCTACATTTGAAGATGATGGGAAAAAAAAAAAAAAAGAGGATTTGGCTTCCAGATTCTTTGAAGATGATGGGGAAAAAAAAAAAAAAAAAAAAGAGGATTTAGCTTCCAGATTGCAAAGCTGTGCTTGTATTTATGCACACAGTCCTTGTCTGGGGCAGCAGGACATTGAGTCTCTGTGTGCAGTTTGCTGAATGGTTCCCAGTTCTTGAAGCTGGCTTTGGAGGAGATGTCCAAAAGGCAGCATTTCAGAGAGGCTCTGGAGGAGCCAGGAGGAGTTCTGGAAATGAGTGCTCATCCAGTATTAGTTACTTTTGAAAAATAAAGGCCTTTGTCTTCTTTTCAGGAGTTGTGCCGATCCCTCCTGTGAAAACCTGTTCACGTCTGTTTTAGCAGAGTTTCACAAGGGGGGATTTTCAAGCTGTGTTCCATAAGAGAAAGCAGCTCCTAAAAACAGTGTGGAGAAAAATAGTATAATACATTTTCTAAGTGTAACACCCAGGGAAAGGAAGACATAAATATGACCTTCAAATGATCCACTTGATTTTTATTTGCTTTCAAATGGAAACTGTTGTGATAACCCTGCACCCTTCTTTCTGTGACTTGATTCTGCTTTTAAAGCTGATTCTGTCAAAACCATATGTTTTTCCCTCTCCATATAGCTGGCTAGAGAACCATAAGCCTTGCCAAACACTTGAATTAAGTGCCCTGTAATAATAAACAACATAATTTTATATGCATTTATAAAATAAGTTTTAATTGTTTTGAGTATTTTCAGCTGGTTAAAAATATAAAACATTTGTCTTGATAAAGGCTCTGAATCAAAGCTAAGGAGGTGAAAATAAAACCCTGTGGCACTGTAAATAATGAAATACAGTATACAGTGTTATAATCAATACAGTCAATTTGAAGCTGAGGTGTGACACTTTAGGGCTGTAATGCTTGCCTCATAATCACCAATAAATTGTGGTCTCTGACAAACTCATTCCCCCTGGATGATGCTTTTTTTTGTTGCTTTGCAGGGTATTCAAGGCCTTTATCGGGGTTATAAAAGCACCGTATTAAGAGAGGTAAAACACTTGTCTTTTCTTCTTTTATTTTTTTTTTTCAATTGCTTCCTTTGCCTCAGTTTTCTCACAAGAGATAATAGTACAATTGAGATCAGTTGCTCTAACCTTAAGCTCTAAATCCCAGCATATTTCATTCTAGGTAAGTTACCAGTCTGAAATTGAAATAAAACACTGATAATGAGCACTAAGAAAACCTTTGATTCGTACAAAAATTCATTTGCCATCCTGTCTCCCAGTTCTGTTGCTGCTGAATTGAAAAAGGACAGAAAGGTATATGTTAACACGAGAAAACCATAAATTAAAGTACTGGAAACTTTCTCAAGTCTTGTGATTGCTTCATGTGAACTATATATGCCAACAATAGTGAACTGGTGGCATCAGGCCAAGTTTAGCACAGACAGATTTAGGCTTTCTTTAAATATATTCGTCAGCAGATGCCAAGGGATTATTTGTCATCTGTATATAGAGAGGATTGTGCTCTCACTAATTTTTTTTTTTTGTGTGAAAGAAATGCATTTAGTCACCCAGTCTGCAGATTTGATATGGCATTACTTAACTTTAAATCAGAAGTATCAGAAAAAAAAAAAAAAGGGCTAAAAATATTTTGGCCCACTCAGAAGAAAATAGTTCCTAAACTAAAATATTTTCATAAATGTACTGTGAATTCCAGGATTAGTGTCATGGAAGTGCTTGATATGCTGTGTGAACTGAGGGCAGATTATAAAAGAAGTAGAAAAATATACCGATAAACTCCCTGTCTAGAATTGTTTCAATATCAGATCCCAGGAGATCATCTTTTGACAAAACAGAAGTTGCTTTCTGTACCTGAAATGGAAAGATCAGTTGGTTCATAGGAAAACATAAAATCACAGAAAGGTTTGGGTTGGAAGGGACCAAAAAGCCCATCTTGTTCTACCCCCCACCTTCCACTACCCCGGGCTGCTCCAAGCCCTGTCCAACCTGGCCTTGGACACTTCCAGGGACGGAGCAGCCACAGCTTCCCTGGGCACCCTGTGCCAGGGGCTTCCCCCCTCACAGGGAGGAATTCTTTCCTGGCATGTGGCTGGACACAGCCACTGGTGTCCAGGAAGGGCTCTCCATGGGACATTTTGGATGTGCTGTGGATTTGTCTTCTCCTCATGTAACTCAAGTGGATAAAGGTTAGGTTTGGATACCTAAAGATAGGTTTGGATCCTCCCTCTTCTGTTTCAGACACGGGCTCAGATCTGTTGTCTGTGTTGCCATTGATGATAAAGCCAGTTGCAGAGGCTTTTTAATCTTCATTCAATAGCTCTGCTTTTTAAAACCTTTCTTCATGCTGCAAAATGTTTTCAGGACAGTTATGTTGGCCAGCTCTTGTTACAAGAACGGAATAAAGATGGGTATTACCTAAAACAAGAAACACCAAATTTAGTGTTCCTTAAAGTGCTGACAAATGCCAATGCACTGCAGTTTATTTTAGCAGTTCTGAGAGTTTAAAAAAAGTAGTTATTTGTGCAAAGATGACACCTGCTTTTCTGAAATGTAACCCCCACCATAGCTTTGTCCTGTCCTTATTTTCTGGCTCACTAAACGTGTTATTCACTCAGATTTCATTTGCTGACGGGCAAAAAAGGCGGATGAATAAGAATCATTTTGATTTCTCAGAGGGGTCCTGAATAAATGAATAAATTTAGATCCCATTGAGTACAGATTTTGCATACTAACAGGTAGATAAAGCACATGGTTGCTACTGTGTGCTATTCTCCTTAAAATTTGTTTTGACATATGTCAGGGTGGTAATTAATTTGCAGACCATATTCATGGCACAGTGTGTGACCCTGCTGAGATAACTTTGTTTACTCAAAATGGCAACACTTTGTTGGAAATTTAATGGGAGTCCTCTTCATTTTGTATATTCATAAAAGATCCTTCAGAACTGATTTCAGTTGAAGTATTGCTTTTTGGAAGAATCTGTCCAATAGAACGAGAAATAAATGATTACTAAACGAAATGTGCTTTCTCTTAAAAATGAAGCAAATCATAGGTGATGTTTAAAAAGAAAAAAAAAATCTTTGAATTTAACACTGTTAAGACTGTTGCATTTTTCTGACACTAAATTTTGCAAAGCAATGTCCGCTGGAGTAACAGCTTTTTGCACCTTCAGCTGGAGCTGTTGTAAGCCTGACATTTAATCTTGGTATTTTTCCTTCTCTTTGAGTACACTTCTTCCTTTAAGACCTTTATTTTCAGATAAAAATCTGTATTAATTCATTATTAGACACATCCTGGAAGCTGCATAGCATATATCAGGTGGTACTTAATTCCAGCAGACTTTTATACTTACAAGGTTTGTTTACATGCTTTGGGTCTCTACCTACACAAACCCCTTTGTTTAGTTATAATGGAGTGGGAATTTTTGGATAGAGGGTCTTCAATACATGATTTTTCATTTTAAAAATATTGGAAGAGGCTGGGAATATTGATGCTTTTCAGATGATTATATTCTTGTGTTGGCAAAGTTCTTGAGCTGGAGTTTAAGAAAGGTTAATTTTAGCTGTTGTATTGGGATAAAATTTTGCGTATTATATCAAGATTTCTGGACAGGGATCTGCTTGCCAATTGATTGAATTTCAGTGAAAAGAAGTCTGTTTATAAATAGAGTGTGGTGTGGAAGCCTCATCTCTCATCTTCTTGCTTCAGTATAGATCATCTTTTCAGGACAGCCTTACTCTGCTCCATGTAATTGGCTTTAGCTGCTGTGCTGGTGCAAGGTTTCATCCTTCAGTTTTGATTCTCACTCTGACTTATCCCCTTTATCTTCTCAGAATGCTTTTTGAGCAGATGGATATTAGAAGAGAAAGATGATGGCTAAATACATAATGCTTTTGGAAATAACTTTGAGTGAACCTCCAGGCTTGAAAGTTTTGGCTGTGACTCTTTTCACCTTTTTGGTGCCTCTTCTCTCACATCTCCATTACATTTTGGTCTTTACCTCTTCCTTTGATGGAGTTACACTGAACTAATCCTGAAATGGAAAGGGAGGTGAGGTACAGTGCATCATTCTGTTGGCAGCAGAAGCCAGAAGGACATCTGTGCTCCAAGAGGAAGGCTTTTGTAATAAAGCACAAAGTGGGAGTGTGGTTATTAGGTTGCTCAATGAGACTTTGAATAAATGGCAGAAATCAGAGGCTGTGAAATGGTGTGGAATTCCCATGATGTCATTTCCAAAGCAAATCCAAGTGAGAATTGCCCCTTCCTATGGCTGTAGTGTACCAGTGTGCAGCACTGTGGAAACTGGATCATGCTACTAAGATCAATCAATGAACAGGTAAATTTATTCACATTTTCCACAACAGAGAAAAGTTAACTGGTAAAATTTCCAGCCATCTCATAATAAGGCAGGAGCAGACTATAAATCCACTGCAAATCCTTTAGAATTCCTAAATGGGAATGGAGTTCTGCTGCTGAGATCTTATATAGGCAAATGGAGCCAGATTTTTAATTCCTGCATAATTCATTTTATTAACTATGACCAAGTAGAACATCTGTTAAAATTCCATAATGTTCAGTTCATGGGAAAAAGAAAGAAACCCCTGAGTTCCCACTGGAGCTCTTCCATTTCCCTTCCTGTTACAGGACTCCAGCAGATGTCTTAGAGGACGTTCTTGTAAATGAGGGGACAGCCCAAAAGAAAAGGAAGTGCTTTGTCCAATTTCCCTGAGTACAGTGAGTTACTTCAGTGGCATGTCTGTGTGCAGGTTGCAGCTTCTCAGTAAATCTGGTGTCCCTTCTGTCCTGAATTACCATGGTTTGGAAGAAGTGAGGGAGTCCAGAGTGGGTGTTCCGTGTGCTTTTAATCCAGTTTGTCACTTGTGAAAATACTGCAGATGGCCTGGCTTCCAGCTTGGAAGTAGATTCAAAAGGAGCTAAATTAATATTGAACTTTCTTTAAGACAAAGGGGATGGAGAATGACTGGCTCTCTGTAACTCATGGATGTCTTGGAAAGAGACTGAGAGTCACTTTCAAATGTCAGTCTTGGCTGTGCAGGTAGCCCTGGCTGAGCTTGTCCTCTTGGACTTTTCTGAGACAATTCAAACTCTGCTTGTGTTGGCCTCCATTCAGGTGGAGGTGGCAGTGATGCTTTACTTGTCAATGTTGTTTCAGATCTCAGAGCTCTGAGTTTGAAAGGAAACCCCTGACAAAGCTGACCCTACTTGGGAACCACACGCTCCTGGCTTTGGTTGAAGTGAGGTAGCCCAGTTGTCACCTTGGGCAGTCCCAGCTCTTTAAGGCAGAGCAGCTGTGGCTTGGTTTGGGGTTTGTGATTTTCCCTTCAGTAAATGCAAGGCAGAGCCCTGAGTGGGTAAAGGCACTGCTGCTGTCTTGGGAAGGAGGGAATGGTAGAATAACTTTGGGAGGAGAGGGACAGCCAGTTCAAGGTGTGCCGTGGCAGCAGTGTGACAAACAAAAGCAGATTCCAGAGAGCCAAGCAGAAATAACATCTCCTGAGGAGGAGGCACTGCTTGTTGTATGTGTTCCACAGAACTGCTGTCCTTTTACAAGGTGTGTCTCAAAAGGGCTGAGGGGGACCTGCAGTGCAGCCTTTGCAGATGAGGAAGGAGCTGGAAGTAAAAAAAAAAAAAAAAAAACCCAACCCAAACCAAAGAAAAAACCCCACCAAAAATAAACCAAAAACAACAACAAAAAAACCTCTCTTCAACAATACTTACTGTTTAGAATAGCCAAAAACAACAACAAAAAAAACCCTCTCTTCAACAACTTACTGTTTAGAATAGGAAAACTAAAGCAACTAGCAGCAAAATGGGCCTTAAAGGCACACCTGCTTGAGTTTTCCTAATTTTAAAGGCTTGGTGAACAAAGGATGCTGAGGGGGTTTGTATAAAAATGTAAAACCCAGCTGAGATGTGTTGACCCTGTTGACTGAGGGTTGGAGGGGATTTCTGAGGGCTGAGCTCAATAGGGCACACTGCAAACAGGGAGTTTGTTTATCCATTTA